CAGAAATATACTGGTCATTGTTTCCGTCGATCATCGGCTACAATATTAGTTAATGCAGGTAGTGCCATGGAGGATGGCGTTCTAGCACTGTCGCTGAGGGATACATAGACGATTCCATATAAAATAAAATTGAAATTTCCAAAAAAATTGTCCGTTCAGTAAATTCTTCTGGTCCTCAGTATTCTGAGCTATTTTGTTCAAACATATCAATTACTGAAAATATGTTGAAAGGGCAGGACCTTCCTACAATAAATTTTGAAAACTGTTCTAACATAACAGTAAATTACAATTTCAAATAAAACAGCAGGGAAGACTATTATTAATCGAATAAAAATTGTTTATTCATTGTTGTTATTGTTCATTGTTGTAAATATGTAACTGTATGGTTATAAATAAAAATTTCAAATAAAAATAAAAGTCAGTTCTGGTCGTTTTAATAAAGTAGCAGCCGTAGAAAAAGTATAGTGTGTAACTCGTGTGAAAAGTAATATTTTCAACACTTGTTGCACAATATACTATACTGTGTTAATCATCTTAGATATATTTTATTTGTAATCTTTGACAGTTGAAAATCTTTACATTGTTCCATCAATTGTACCAAACCATATCTCCAATATGATTTATACTTTCCTGTCTGTATACAGATAAGGAAAGTATAGGAATTTTGAATTTTCGACCTCAAGTTTTCGACAGATTTTTAAGTTTTGGGTCCCCTGAATCCTTTTTGACTATTTTCGCGATGATATCTGTGAGTTTATGTCTGTATACTCGATAATTCATAAACAGAAAAATATAAAATTTTTAAACTTAAGCTTTAACCCATCCTGCGGTGACTTAATTAGATTTTGTTCATCGTCGTAACATCTGGAGGGTAGTTTATCAAATATATATGTTATTTACCCTTAAAGAAGAAAATTGTTTAAATAAAAGTTGCTTGAAATAATATTCTCTATATTTTTTGTTCAATTTATAATAATTCTACTTAAATGGTCCGTTTTCGAGAAATTTGACAAAAAGTTCAAAATTCGAATTTTTAAGAAAATTTTATTAATAAAAATTGCTGCCGACGCCATTTTCTATAATTGTTGATTTTTACATAATTTCCCTAAAATTAACAGTATTCGAAATATTTGAGGAGAAGAGAAAATTTCGAATTTTGAGAATAACTCAAAAACGGAACAAGAGAAAAACACCAAATTTTGAACTGAATCTTTAATCCATTCTGCGGTGAGCTGATTAAATTTTTTTGTGGGCATAATCGGAGCTTCTTGGGGCGTACTTTGTAAAAAAATGTTTAGAGTAATTTATGTCTGGAAAATGTATGAATTGTTTAGTTCATCCTCTAAACATTTACAGTAGTGATACAATAGGCTGTACAAAATAACCGGAAGAGCCTATAGTAATCAGACAGGAAAGTCATGTGTTAGACACATCAGATTTATAAATATAAAATAAATGTACAGTTATCATTCAGAAATACATTAAACAAGTTCTTACACAATTTACCTACTTTGTAGAAAACAAATTGTAAATGAATTAAAATTTAAAATAATAAATAGTAAATATTGGTCAAACCAATACTCGTTTCTGTATACACATACATAAATATAACTGTATTTTTAGTATCCATTTATCGCCGACATTAAAATAAGGATGCCTCATTTTTTTAGTTTCCTGTACTGCAATGTATGATGAAAATCGATATTTTATTAAGATATCATATTCAGTTTAAACCTTAAAACTTCAGCAAGCTACCTAATATAACAAATGAGTGAATAAATTAAAAAAAAAACAGGATATTAGTTTTCTTGCAAGAACTATAATAAAAATACATTTGTTAATTTTATTATAATAATTATCTAATCGTTGATTTTTTTTATATATATAATATATAAATAGTTTTCCTTGATTATTATATTTATTGGTAGTATTTTACTTTTTTCGAGGTGTTCCTATATTTTTCAAAAATTATTTTTTCAAAAATAAAATATTTTTCATAAATTATCAAATTTTCTTTAATTACTATTGTAATTCAAATTACATTAGGAAAAGCTGTCATAAGCTAAAATGGAATGAAAAGTATTAAATATTGTTTTATAAGTCATAAAGAAATATTTTCTAAAACACTATATTTTTTCTACAAACTCCATTATGACATCTACTAAAATAAAAAACAACGTAAACAAATGCTTTATTTTGTATTAGAAGCAAACAATGTTCAACATTGACACTGACAGTTTTGAATAATGAACAATAAAACTTCAAATAAACAACTGACACAAACCAACTAGATGTGGATTATTTTTATTTTGTTTATAATTTAATAAGATTGAAGTAAAAGCTTCTATATTTTAATCTGCATCTTTTTATTATTAATAATTATAAGGTGAAAAAATATTATATTATAAAATATATAATATAGGTACTTTTGTCATTAGAGACGAAAGTTAACCTAATGAGATTTTCTCTCAATAGTCACAGAAATCAAGATTTTGTCTGTATCCGAAAGATGCCTTTTCATAAGAACTAAGAAGAATAAGACGTGTATATATGCACTATTTGGCACGATTTTTTTATAAGAAACAAATTTTCTAGTTTTGTATATTACAGTTAGATTTCTTAAACATTCGTTTAAAAAAAATTTAATCCTGTTTTAATTTAATAAAATTAGCTGTGTAGGAAAAATTTTACACTGCTGTAGTTACTAACGCCTCCACCATTTTTTATAGTTTGATAATTATTGACAGAAATATCAATAAATAACTTTAGAGCCCGTTAACTTAGCAATGATGAACCATAGGAAAAATAAAGAACTAACATTGTTTTTACCGATGTTTTACCTCATCTATCTACTCTCGATTTTAATAACCTTTCTAAAGCAATCATATAGAAAAAAGAAAGTTATCAAAAAAATGGCACTGGTCTTAATACAGGGATAAAAATAAATTTTTGAATACCCAAAACGAGGTTTGATTTCAAAATCATGAATATGGGCATTAAAAATTTAGGAATTCGGTAATTTTGAATGACAATCAATTAAACAGAAAAAAAATTTTTGTTAAATGTGAATGATCTTAAAACACAAAAATTTTATTTAAAAAATATATTTGGTAGAAATACATTGCCAACTTATCTATAAAATGAATAACGAAAGTATATAAGGCCCGGATAGTAATAGAAATTGACATAACGACATAATGCATTGTTTTGGAAATAATATTTAATTTTTTTGACAACAAATATCAAACAAATTCGAATGTTCATAAAGTGTAACCCAAAAGAAACGTATACAATTTATAATCCGTTTTCTATATTTAAAAAAAAAACTATCTCGAAATCAACAAAATGAGCTCACAAACTACAATTAAATTGTGATACAAGGTGAATCGGAAAATCAGAACGAAACAAATTGAATAGAATATTCTTGTTTAATTTTCTTTCAAACTGTTTGATAAAAATTTTTAATTAATTGTTAGATTTAAATTTAAAAGGACTAACAGGGTTACAAATTAAAAAAAATGATGTCACAGTTCCGTGTAATAAAAGAAAAAATGTGTTAAAAAAATGACTTTACTGAAGAGTTATCAAATATATTGAGTACGGCCTATTTAATCAAAAAGTGTTTATAAGATGAATTAAAGATGAAAACTGTCCACACATATTTTTTTCGAAAATACTGAAAAATTTACATTTTGCACTTTCCCTCAAATATCTCCAATACGATTCATTTGAGAAAAATTATATAAAGGACCAAACTAGAGAATAATATCACAAACAATTCTTGTTCAAATAAAGTTTTTCTCTAATCATAAATAACAGAAATACACCATAAATTAGAAAATTGGCTCCAATAATGTACCCCCTTCTTAGATAAATTTGGTCTTTTTTTTTGTGAGTTATCGTGGATACAGACACAGACACCCATCATCGCGAAAATGATTTAGAAAACCCCAAAACGTAAAGATTCGTCGAAAACTTGAGGTCTAAAAAAGCAATATTTTCTTTACTGGATTCAGAAAAGTAAACATTTTAAATTTCATAAATTTAACCTGAGTAAATCTTCTCTTGTGCAGTGGCGGCTCTTGACCAAAATTTTGGGGGTTCACAGTGACAGAATATAGATATCAGTACATATCTATGAATAAAATTTTCAGTGTTTTAGAATGTTTATAATATACCTTTCTAAAACACTGACAGTTTTTACCTACATCTGTACCGGGATCTATATTCTTCAACTGTGAACCCCCAAAATTTTGGTCACGAGCCGCCCCTGCTCTTTTAAAAGACTCGTTAATGACTTCAGTAGTTTATTTATTGACAATGTTTTATTACTTTCTAGGCCGAAATTTTATGAATTGTGATATTTTCCTCTATTTGTAAATTCAAACCTATCAAAATCCGCCAAAAAAGGAAGTTCTAAGGGATAGTTTTCAAAAGGGTTGTTTTGGAAATTATTTTTGAGTGATATTCCACTTAGTTTAAATTTACTATAAGTTTTTATTTTTAACCGTTTTTGAGAAAATGTCTGCCTAAATAGATTTAAGAATTATACTTTAAAAATTATTCATAATTATTGTTATTCATCATTTTACAATATTTTTGCTACACCCTGTATAATAATAAAATCGTAGAAAAAGTCTCATATAAGTCATATTTTCAAATTGTTCAAAATAAATTGGATCTGCATGAATAAGTGTCAAATATATCGGAGAAAAATAATAATATTCCAATTTAAAATGTAGAATAAAATTTCTTACCAATTTATTTTTAAAATATATTTCAATGGCTTCATACAGATATTGTGTTTTAATTAATTACGAAAGGTCTGCTGCTGACATTTAAATGGAATAATAAAAAAAAAATAAATACTGTAGTTGATTGGCAAAGTTGAGAATTACGTAAAATTGCTTAACAAACAGTAAACATAGGAACTTTATGGTTTCAAAAAATGACCGTTAAATTTGCGACCAAAGAGAATTAGTAATTAGTTTAGCACTCACCTTCAAAAGAATCCACTAATATAAGTAAAACAAAACCCAACAAATAGTTCATCCTTGGCTGCAGCATTTTGACAGAAAAAATATTAATCCAAATTAGCACTCATTCACACCGTTTGCATATTTTTTCAAAACAACCAAAACCAAATTTAAAAAAGCGGTCACGCCGTGAGAGCAGCACTGGTTTCGCGCGGGATTTAATTCTTCCACTTCTGTACCTACTTCTTGTAGTTTATCATGCAACACTAACTGCTGCAAGTCCAAGAAGTAACTGAGTGTGGTAACTGTCTTAAAGAATAATTTCCCAGTCACCTGTTTCGCGAACCGCTGGAAGGTAGAAAGCGGCTGACATCGACTCAAGAACTGATTGTGTACATATTTGTTGATTCGGAGGCCGAAAAAAAAACCTATATCTAAAGATATACTGCAAGAATAGTCTCATTTCAGTTTTAAATTACATTATTTTAAGTCTCCGTAGATCATATTGTTAAAATGTAAACATTTAAAAAAATAATTAATCCTACCAAATTATTTTCATTATAAAGAAGTGTTTGAGTGACAAGTTTTTAAAAGCAAGTTGCATCATTGCATAGTTATTTTCTTTTCTGTACGCGGAAAAATCACTTTCCGCATGTGTTGTGATCATTGTTTGCCGAAAGAGATACGTTCCCTGGTGTACTCGTATTAATATACTGATATGGAATCACCCAGTATATGAAATTTCAATCAACGACAAATCTCAAAAAGGGGCGAGTTCAAATACAAAATTGAAATTTACAAAACAGCTCCTGCTGTCCTCCAGCTTTGTCTGCTTGCATGGTTTCGCTCTGTTTGTTTTCTTCTGCTTACTATGCTTTTATGGCTTCTGTAGTTGTTCCTCAACTTAGTTCTCTTATCTACTATTTTAGTTCACCCTCTACTGTCTCACTTTACAAATCGTTTTTTACCTTCTATCTGTTTATTTTCTTTATTCCACCTTTCGTGCGTTCAATAATTGTATTCTAATATATTTTTTAAAACGATGCGTAGCTACCAGGGGCGGTTTCTCCATTGGTTCATTTGTGCAGCGAACCCCCAGTTACATTTCAAAGAAACACATTATTTTAAAATAAACATAAAAATATAAATTCAATTTTAATAATTTTATTGTTTTCATACATGTTAATCTCTATTTTTTGGTACGCCACTGCGCTCTGGCTAATAGCATCTCTTTGGCTCATTTTTCTGAGTAAGCCCGCGGGAGTGAAATGCTTTTCCTAAAGCCTCTAGCTAAAAAGAGATGTCAGTCAACACGTTAACAGATCGATGAAACGATGACCTACTTAAAATCACTAAAATCATCTTATTTTGCGCCTCGCACGCAGTGACGTCACAAAGTAGAACGAAGCATGCGAATCTTTCAAATCATAGAATAAAGAGATACAATGACGGTACTAGAAGTGTCTGCACTTTTGCATTATCCTTTTACGACATATGTCAAACTCGAGCTAGTCAGTTTAGGTGATAATAAATGCCATTTTTTTTTAAATAGCATGATTTAAATGATATAAAAACATTTTCATTCCGTCAATCTTTAAACAAAATTAATCAAAATATAACTCAAAGTGCCTCCACTTGTCATATCACAAAATAGTGATCATATGTCTCTACTTACTTCATTATCTATCTTCAATCTCCAATCAAGCTGTCAAATTCTAAAAATCAACATATGTAAGAATTTTTATTGTATATTGTATTTATCAAAAATTAAGTTTTAATAAAACTGCGACTTTAATAAATTGGAAGTATGTGTGTCAATTCAACGATTGTTCCCGAAAAACTTCTTTAAGTTAAGGTAAATAAGGTTATGTTGTTTTATTTACCTATAATAAAGTTTTACGACTGTAATTATTTGTTTTATATTTTTTTAGTATCTAAGACCATTCTAAGAGTACCTCAAAATGTTAATCTATTTTATGCCAAACTGTAAATACTATGAAGTAAGAAGTAAGCAAAAAATTTGTAAATTTTTTGTGTTTTCCACAAAACCCGCTGAAAGGAAAAATTTGATTATTCTGATAAGGTAACTACTAATGTGAAACTTTACCTTAGAAATGGTATGTACATTTAAATAGTTTGTATAAAGTTATGTCTGCCTGTAATTATCAATCAAGTTACCCCCTAGCCTAGATTGTGTGTTGCATACAAACCTGAAATCTTTTATTTTAATGACATTTTTTATGGCCTTGTTTGTATAATTTAGTATTTAAAAAATATTAGATGTTATGGTAATTTGGATACATGCAGGTATTAAATAAAAATAAGGTTGTTGGTAAATTAGTTTACAATTGGTATGTCTCGAAAACAACAATAAGTATCAAACACTAATTTTGATTATGACAGGCACTTAACAAGTCACATCTCACATATCTATATGCTCTGGGTAATCAATTCTATAAGTACATATCAAAACATTAATATAATATCTACAATTAAACAATAATTTGAAAATAAAGCTGAAGATAAAATTACTATTATTCTATTATTTATTAAAACACATTATTTTTTAGTAAACATGGACTTGCAAAGTCAGCAATGAGGGTAGGACAACAGCCAGAGCAAGAATACTTTGGAATGTGACATGAAATATACATAGAAAGGGTCATATGGAGAATTAAGAATGATAACAGTTTACAATGTGTATCTCACTATTATAGTTCACAGATTTCTGTAAATTTGATAAAAGAAGTTGAATATTATTGTTGACCTCTTTAAACTGTTTATTTTACCTTATACATTTTTTTTCTACCCTTTACATAGTATGTGAAGAGTATTATAGCTTTACTTTCTCCTTCTGTCCGATGTCACGTTTTTTGTCTGCACGATAAGTCAACAAGTATTAGAAATTAAAAATTAAAAAAAACCGACTTTAAAAACGTGCAAATGCCATCACAACATCTTAACCAAATTTATATGGGACCACCCTTGAGGTACCCCTTTACTAACAAAAAAAGAATCATATAAATCGGACGAGGTGGTAAAGCATTATCGCTAAACATACATAAAAAAGAAGAGTTTGAGGCTTTTCTCATGAACCAAATTATTAGATTTTGACCAAATTTATATGGGACCACCCTTGAGGTACCCCTTTACTAACAAAAAAAGAATCATATAAATCGGACGAGGTGGTAAAGCATTATCGCTAAACATACATAAAAAAAGAAGAGTTTGAGGATTTTCTCATGAACCCAATTATTAGATTTTGACCAAATTTATATGGGACCACCCCTGAAGTATCCCCTTTCTAATAAAAAAAGAATCAATGAAATCGGACACCGTGTTAAAGAATTATCGCTGAACACACATAAAAAGAAAAATATTGCGACGAATTGAGAACCTCCGCCTTTTTTGAAATCGGTTACAAGTATTAGAAATTAAAAATTTAAAAAAAACGACTTCAAAAACGTGCAGATGCCATCACCACATCTTAACCAAATTTATATGGGACCACCCCTGAGGTACCCCCTTACTAACAAAAAAAGAATCATATAAATCGGACAAGGTGGTAAAGCATTATCGCTAAACATACATAAAAAATGAAGAGTTTGAGGAATTTCTTATGGACCCAATTATTAGATTTTGACTAAATTTATATGGGACCACCCCTGAAGTGCCCCCTTTCTAACAAAAAAAAATCATTAAAATCGGACACCGTGTTAAAGAATAATCGCTGAACATACATACATAAAAAAAAAAAATATCGCGACGAATTGATAACCTCCTCCTTTTTTGAAGTCAGTTAAAAAACGAAAAATAATATCTTCTTGAAAATTTTAAGCAAAAATCAAGCTCTATAAGGGGACAAAGCTTATTGATTTTGAACAAATCTGATTAAAAATAGGGGGTTAAGATAGGTTGAAATTAAAAAAAAAATCCTAAATTAAAAACGAAAAGTGATATCAACATGAAATTTTTAGTAAAAATCTGATGTGTCCAACACATGACTTTCCTATCCAGTTATTAAAGGCTTTTTCTGGTTATTTTGTACAACCTATTGCAGCACCTCTATAAATGTTTAGAGGATAAACTAAATATATACATTTTCTACTTGCATCTACCTCGAAACAATTTTCTATAGATATTCATTGAAAAGGAAAACACTGAAAAATTTAAATTTAGCACTTTTCCTACAATTTTTCCATCACGGTCCATTTTAGAAAAATCATGTATAAACAAAAATTATAGAGATCGATATCGCAAACAACTTTTAGTTCAACAATTTTCATAAAAATCAGAATTTTGCACATTTTGTCAAATTTCTCGAATACGGACCATTTCAGAAAATTTTGACGTAAAACAAAAATTAAAGATAATAATATTAGAAGTAACTTTTATTTGAACAATTTTCTTCCATATATTCCATAAAATTTAAAAACGGCCTCCCATAAAGTACACCCCAGATGTTCCCACTTTGTCCAAAATCTAATCATTTCACGTCAGGCCGAAATAAAACTTAAGTTTAAAATTTAATATTTTTTTCTTTATCCGTTTTGAGTTTTCCTCAAAATTTAAAATTTACATATTTTCTCAAATATCTCAAATACGGTCCATTTTAGAGAAATTATGTATAAAATAAAAATTATAGAGAATTATATTACAAACTTTTTTTATTTGAACAATTTTTATAAAAAATATTTTTTTCGTTTTGTCAAATTTCTCGAATACGGACCATTTTAGGAAAATTTTGTATTGAACAAAAAGTATAGATAATAATATTAGAAGTAACTTTTATTTAGAGAAATTTCTTGTCTAAACGTAAATACCAGATATATTCCATAAAATATAAAAATGACACATATAAAGTACCCCCCCCCCCCAGATGTTCCGACTCTGCTTAAAATCTAATCAGTTCATTGGACGCTGGAATAAAGCTTAAGTTTAAAATTTGGTGTTTTTTTTCTGTGTATCGGTTCATAAGTTATGGTGAACACACACACACGAACACACACACACACACACACACACACACACACACACACACACACACACACACACACACACACACACACACACACACACACACACACACAC